GGGTGGCGAGATTAGTATCTCCATATGAATACAAGAGTTGCTATATTAGTATCTCCATATGAATACAAGGGTGGCAAGATTAGTATCTCCATATGAATACAAGGGTGGCGAGATTAGTATCTCCATATGAATACAAGGGTGGCGTGATTAGTATCTCCCTATGAATACAAGGGTGGCGAGGTTAGTATCTCCATATGAATACAAGAGTTGCTATATTAGTATCTCCATATGAATACAAGGGTGGCAAGATTAGTATCTCCATATGAATACAAGAGTTGCTATATTAGTATCTCCATATGAATACAAGGGTGGCGAGATTAGTATCTCCATATGAATACAAGAGTTGCTATATTAGTATCTCCATATGAATACAAGGGTGGCAAGATTAGTATCTCCATATGAATACAAGGGTGGCTATATTAGTATCTCCATATGAATACAAGGGTGGCTATATTAGTATCTCCATATGAATACAAGGGTGGCGAGATTAGTATCTCCATATGAATACAAGGGTGGCGAGACTAGTATCCATATGAATACAAGGGTGGCGAGATTAGTATCTCCATATGAATACAAGAGTTGCTATATTAGTATCTCCATATGAATACAATAGTGACTATATTAGTATCTCCATATGAATACAAGGGTGGCGAGATTAGTATCTCCATATGAATACAAGGGTGGCGAGATTAGTATCCATATGAATACAAGGGTGGCGAGATTAGTATCTCCATATGAATACAAGAGTGACTATATTAGTATCTCCATATGAATACAAGGGTGGCGAGATTAGTATCCATATGAATACAAGGGTGGCGAGATTAGTATCTCCATATGAATACAAGGGTGGCGAGATTAGTATCTCCATATGAATACAAGAGTTGCTATATTAGTATCTCCATATGAATACAAGGGTGGCTATATTAGTATCTCCACATGAATACAAGGGTGGCGAGATTAGTATCTCCATATGAATACAAGAGTTGCTATATTAGTATCTCCATATGAATACAATAGTGACTATATTAGTATCTCCATATGAATACAAGGGTTGCTATATTAGTATCTCCATATGAATACAAAGGTGGCGAGATTAGTATCTCCATATGAATACAAGGGTGGCTATATTAGTATCTCCCTATGAATACAAGGGTGTTTATATTACTATCTCCATATGAATACAAGGGTTGCTATATTAGTATCTCCATATGAATACAATAGTGACTATATTAGTATCTCCATATGAATACAAGGGTGGTTATATTAGTATCTCCATATGAATACAAGGGTGGCGAGATTAGTATCTCCATATGAATACAAGAGTTGCTATATTAGTATCTCCATATGAATACAATAGTGACTATATTAGTATCTCCATATGAATACAAGGGTTGCTATATTAGTATCTCCATATGAATACAATAGTGACTATATTAGTATCTCCATATGAATACAAGGGTTGCTATATTAGTATCTCCATATGAATACAAAGGTGGCGAGATTAGTATCTCCATATGAATACAAGGGTGGCTATATTAGTATCTCCCTATGAATACAAGGGTGTTTATATTAGTATCTCCATATGAATACAAGGGTGGCTATATTAGTATCTCCATATGAATACAAGAGTGACTATATTAGTATCTCCATATGAATACAAGGGTGGTTATATTAGTATCTCCATATGAATACAAGAGTGACTATATTAGTATCTCCATATGAATACAAGGGTGGCTATATTAGTATCTCCATATGAATACAATAGTGACTATATTAGTATCTCCATATGAATACAAGGGTTGCTATATTAGTGTCTCCATATGAATACAAAGGTGGCGAGAATAGTATCTCCATATGAATACAAGGGTGGCTATATTAGTATCTCCCTATGAATACAAGGGTGTTTATATTAGTATCTCCATATGAATACAAGGGTGGCTATATTAGTATCTCCATATGAATACAAGAGTGACTATATTAGTATCTCCATATGAATACAAGGGTTGCTATATTAGTATCTCCATATGAATACAAAGGTGGCGAGATTAGTATCTCCATATGAATACAAGGGTGGCTATATTAGTATCTCCCTATGAATACAAGGGTGTTTATATTAGTATCTCCATATGAATACAAGGGTGGCTATATTAGTATCTCCCTATGAATACAAGGGTTGCTATATTAGTATCTCCATATGAATACAAGGGTGGCTATATTAGTATCTCCCTATGAATACAAGGGTTGCTATATTAGTATCTCCATATGAATACAAAGGTGGCGAGATTAGTATCTCCATATGAATACAAGGGTGGCTATATTAGTATCCATATGAATACAAGGGTGGCGAGATTAGTATCTCCATATGAATACAAGGGTGTTTATATTAGTATCTCCATATGAATACAAGGGTGGCTATATTAGTATCTCCATATGAATACAAGAGTGACTATATTAGTATCTCCATATGAATACAAGGGTGGTTATATTAGTATCTCCATATGAATACAAGAGTGACTATATTAGTATCTCCATATGAATACAAGAGTAGCTATATTAGTATCTCCATATGAATACAAGGGTGGCTATATTAGTATCTCCATATGAATACAAGAGTTGCTATACTAGTATCTCCATATGAATACAAGAGTAGCTATATTAGTATCTCCATATGAATACAAGGGTGGTTATATTAGTATCTCCATATGAATACAAGGGTGGCGAGAT